TATTCGTAATATACAAATAATAGATAAACAATATAAAATATAGTTATACCTGATATAAAACTAGCCAGCAGACTAAGGCTGACTGGAAACGTTTTCATGTTCCTCCCACCAACCAGATACTCGTCCTCACCTGAGGACTTCTTTATAAAGCCAAAGTAAATACCAACGATGCCACATACGACTAACATTGCTGCGAATATGGTGTAATCTGGCATACTGAAATTCTGCATAGACTTGCTAATCTCCTGAACGGTGGGTATGTCTGGTGTCCGTTTTGCTAGGTCCAGATCGTCCAAGGTACCCTCCGAAGTCATCTTGTTTGCAAAACTAATCTAATAAGATAGAATCTAATAAGATATGCTAAAAGGATGTTTTGTTCTTGACATCTTTTGGAAAAAAAAATAGAAATGTTTTCAAGCAGAACAAGTCAACATGACAAAGTCAATTCAAAATGACACCAAAATCAAATCATAATGACTCTCTTTGATCATGATAGAAAATTGATTAAATTATGGTTCTAAAATTTAGAGATGCTGTTTGACATGGTTTGCGATAATTTTAACTTACAATTAGATTATTTTCGATTCTTATAATTGTACGTTACGATTTAAATATGATAATAATGGATACAAAATGTTCTATTAACAAAAATGATACTATGATAAAAATATGATTCGTATGGTAAAGTACAATATTCAATATTTCATAAGATTTGTATTCTGGAACTTTTATTTTGTATCTTGTGAATGAAAAATCAAGAAATTAATGTTTCAAAATCAATTTTTCACAAATTCGTAAAATGTAATAATCGCGAAATTTTTATCATTTTGCATGTGGACCACAAGCTATTTACGTTCTCTCGACGAAAATCATTAAGAAGTCAAAATGAAGTCATAAAAGCCAAATTATGTTTTATTAAAAATGTTAAACAGTATTATCTTTAACTTTCTAGTATGACTACATTTTATGTCAACTTGACTTTTATAGAAGAAAGACCCGTTATGAGATAGGTTACTAATATAATATATAACGAGGTTTCTGCTAATAAACTAATAGGCGCATCAATTGGTTACATCATGCATTCCTTGGAGTGAAATCTGTTTAGTAGAAAATTGAGTGTTAGATCATGCGTGTAGCCGTTGCAAAAAGATTTTTTTAATTGGATGTTGGCAAGTTCCACTGAAGTGAGCCTTTTAACCTTATCTATTATATAATAAATAAATATTTAGCAATAAATTCTAAATGCAGTGATAAAGTAAGATTGTATTAATAGGAAAATACAGAATATATTGAGCTGTTTAATTATTGTGGGTAGATTTGGTAATTGCATAACTACAAGGGCGCGCAAAACAGTCCCCTGAAAGGTATCAAGTAAAACGCCAACGTGGCCAAAAGTAATAGCAATTACGCTATTGTCCATCACAAAAAAAATATACGGAATGTTCACGAAAAGATTGATAAATTGTTCCTTGCAACTTGTGATTCGCTATTTTATACATAACCCTGTTGGATTAATTATCTATATAATAAAATTTTCAAATTATGTAATTATTTATTCAAATTATACATACAATGTATTAATAATTAGTAATTAAAAAAGTTTATTTTATTTGAATACTTTTGTTATATCAGTAAATATAACAAAAATATTCAAATAAAATAAACTTATTTTTTATTAATACAGCAAGATTAAAATATATGACGAGATCAGAAATAAAGTTTCAATAAAGCTTTTAAATTGACGTTGTTTAAATAATTTCTAATTTTATTAATCTTATTGTCTTTGGTTAATTTTTATTTTATTAAAGGGTAATACCACTCTATCCGGAAAAAACAACCTCATTATCATATAGTGAATGGAATACAAAATCTGTTTAAAGGCCTTTATTGTACATATAATATTTTGCAATGTATTCACAATTTTTTCATTTTTTTTTACAAACTGGTGACGCCAGAGCTCAGCAAAGAAAGCCTCTTCTCACGGATACTGTTTCGCGGTCGGAAATATTTTTTTTCTCCAATTTTTGACCTGGAACAAAAACCAAAAATTTTTGTGTTTCTATAAAATTAGCTCGAAATGTACATACGGAAATTTAAAAGTACCGTTTTTGTAAAAATGGTGAAAAAGGTTTTTACCTAAAAATGAAACTTTTTTTCAAACGTGCACCACTTTTACGAAAACCGGTATTTTTTAATTTTCGTACATACTTCCCGAGCTAATTTTATATAAAACACTAACACTTTTGGTTTTTGTTCCAAGTCAAAAAATGAAGGAGAAATCTTTCCGGCTGCGGGACACTATCCGTGAGAACGGACTTTCTTTGCTGAATTTTGGCACTGCCTGTTTGTAAAACAAATTGAAAAATAATTTGCGAATATATTTCAAAGTATGTACAATAAAGGTCTTTCAACAGATTTATTATTCCATTTATTTTATTTCCATAAAAGAATGTCAAAATTAGGCTGTTTTTTTTCGGGCGCTAGAGTGGCATCACCCCTTAATCTTATTATCTTACAATTAGTAACGCAATGTCTCGAAAATTTAGTTTTAAGTAACATAAGAACAATTTACAAAATGGATATTGTTTAACACGTCATCTCGTTATTTATAAGTCATAAAACTGTGATTGATACTAAAACCCTGGCCACCGAGGTGATATTTTTTCGCAATAAATTTAGAATAGAATATTTAGACACTACCATCCTGTCACGGCTCTGAGTCCTTTAAATTCTTTGAAATTTATGTTGAACACATACGAGCCTTACTAATTTATTTAATTTAAATACTAAAACTCTTGTGATTTGTGATGTAGACATCTTTGCGGGAATAAGACGAGCAAAAACCTTTTTCGAGAACTGCTCACATTTTTTTTATTTGTATTTCACAAATTTGTATTTGTATGTTACAATATTAAAATATCTACAAAATAACCTTTACCTACCTTCTGGTATAACTTGTGACTTGACGATTTTGTCCCGACGATTTTATGTCCCACTTAAATCACCTTATCGCGTCAATGAAGAAAAACAAATTCAAATGTTCAAATTATCACTCGTATAAAAATTAATTAATTAGAGATTGTATTTCGCAGACGTGTAAGATAAACCGAAAGTTTATGCACATTTAAAAAATATAAATGTGCATAAGACAATAATGTGAGAATTACATTAGAACGATCGGATCATTAGCTTATAACGATGTTGATTGGCGCATGTCACACACCGAAGATGATGAATCTACCGCGGTAGCCAAGAGACGACTACCTTGACGAAGATCACGCGAACTGTGGCGGAACTTGAGAGTTCGGAGCGTCGCGGCGCGATTACGCGCATCACGATAGTGTCATTGCAACAATCTTCTAATTAAACTGACAATGGGCATAAAGTATGGAGTACAAAACGAATGACTGACGGGTATACCTCGCAGTTAGGAGGCCCGCAAGTGGATAATATGACCTAAATTTAGTGGATGATATGTTTAGTTAAATTGAGGGCCGCGATTCCAACATATCCTTCAATATAAAATCTCTCGTGCAAAAACACCTAAAAATATCTCATAATTGGAATATAAAATAGCAGCAATATTTTGATACGATCAGTATTACTAAATGATTAGCACGAATTAATAATATAATCAATCAGAAACTTTCAAATATCACTGTATTTTGTTAGGTTAGTAGAACAAGAACATTTATATTTTTATTTTTAGGGTAAATATCAAGAAATAAAAGAAAAACATGGAGTAATCTTTTCATTAATTTTAATTAGCAAATGCGACATATATTTCACATAAATATATACCTTACATTAAACATATTGCGACAAACATTGAATGATAATCTTCACCCTTCGTAAAAGCGCGGCAACTCATTGCCCAGGATGACCTTTCTCTCAATTCCTTTCTCTGTAATCACACCAGTTCGTATCACACCGCCACTGCTACCATCACGAGCCATGGCTAATGCAAATGCTGGAAGAAGCATTAAAGTGATTAGTACGTGAACTGCTAAATCTTTGCAACTTTTGGACACCTACTATTCTCTACCAGCTTGAGGCATTCATTTTTCGACATATTGGATTTGTATTGGGCATCCACATAGCCGTACACATACGTCGAACCGGAACCACCCAGATAGTACAAAGATGAACATAAGTTCATAGAGAATTCATTTTAAAGAAAACATACAGGATTAGAAAAATGAATATCTGAAGAATTCTTGAAGAATTAGTCTCAATCAGTTCGTCTTGAAGTATTCTTCTGAAGTTCATTATAATGAATACTTCGCGATTCAGTACTGTGAATACTTTAAGAATTTATGAAGAATTATTTGTCATGCGCGAGTATCCGCTAACCGCCATCCGGACGTTCTTGTGCAGCGTGTTACCACGTGCAATATTTTGTGTGCGTAACGTTATGTGCAATTAATTTTATGTGCTAGTTCTATTGTGTAAAAGAAAGAATCGAACGATGAGAATCGAAACGAAAGAATCGAACGACGAGAACCGAAAAGGAAGAATCATCCGATTGTCAACGAGCTTCGGTTGAGAGTGTCTCACTGTTGAGTGAGAAATTATAATAATGGTGTAATGTTACTGCATATTAGATGTGTACATACATTGGGTAAATATTTTGTAATCCCCTTTGTTCTAACACTATTCCCCTTGAATTCATAAAGTTTACATTTATTGAATTCGAGATGAATACTTTAAGAAGTTGTCAGGAAAACGATTTATGGTGCATGTAACTTTCTCTGTCACTATTATTGTATTCTTCTATGAATTCCTAAAGAATTACAATTCAGAAAAAGAAAACTTAAAGAATACTTTGTGAATTCAGTGTGCTATCTGGACACCAATCGAGATCGGTTGTCTCACACACATACCACCTATGGGAATGCTATAAACCTGGCCACCCTTTTGCTTATCCTATCCTGCGACTAAAATCCCAGCCATGAGGGAATCTCGATAGTTGTAGCATATTTCACGGAATACGTTAGCAGCAGTTTCCATCAAGGGCTGCATTCCAAGCTCCATCGGGAAAAAGTGACCTTATAATCGGCAAATTGGACACAATAAATTTACAGATGTCTTTTGATATCTTACTGATGCAATCCTAAATGGTAAGCTACAACATCAGCAATTGCTTGTGTGTCTGCCGCCGAGCCGGAACGGCAGCAATAAATATAATCTGTCACTCGCGTCAGTTTATCGGCAAAGCGGTTGGAGACGTAAGCTCTAAAAAAAATATGTTTACATAGAAAGTTATATAGGAGAATTGTTGATTGATAAAAATTGCTTTACTGAATAATTATACTTTACACCGTTGTACCTCGAGAATCAGCACCTATTATCACGCCACCATTAAACTCACATGCCATGATTGATGTCTATAAATAGACTTTAAACATTGCATCACCTGACGTAAAAGGAGATCATTGTGAATTCATAAATTAAGATAAGGAGACGCGTAATAAACCTGTAATCTTCTTTGCAGATCTTTGAACCAAATTTTGTAAGTGACAGAAGAATGTGTAAATATGAACGACAAATATGTATCTTACTTATAAAAGCTGCCAATCTTATTGTTTTGTTCACCCGTTTATCTATTTCCGAGTCAGTTTGTCTTTTCAGATGCGATAATTTTTTTTATAAATATTCTCTTTTATACATACACACACATCAATACATAACACGCGTACACGCGTAATAGAAAAATGTAAAACTTTCCAAAAATTTGAAATAAGTATATAACATGTAAATATATAATTAATTATACAGATTTACTATTAAATTTATACTAATTTAATCAATAAAAGTATTGAAAGATAAAACAATCGATATTTTTACTGGCAAACATGCTGCACATATTATTTCAATTTAGCAAAAGTTTATATAATAGCAAATATAACAACAGCAAAAATATTTTATTAAGTAATATAAGAACAATCTGTCTATTTTGGAAGAATTCTTGATGTTTGTGACTATGTGTTTTAGATGTCATATAATTTATGCTTCTGTTCTTTTATTCACATCAAATTAAAAAATATTAAATTGCAGGAAAAAGATTCATATGTGTCCATCTGCTTATGTTACAGGGATAGTATCGGGAAGGACCACTATTATCTATAGATATTTATAGTCAGATCTGATATTCAAGACCATATTGAATATATTATCTAAATATCTAAAGACATAAAGGTACATTATATGGAACATTTCATTGGTTACGGTATCAAAAATGAGACAATCTTGAATATAAGATCTAGCTATGAATACTGCCATACGTTTTATGAACATTTTTACAAATCAATATTCATAATTTGTTTTTATACCAGTACGGGAATTCTGTAACTTGTAATCGATGCTTTTCGGTATCGTTAACTAGCGACAGCCAATGGCGAGGATCTTCGAAAAAGACGCAGATTTTCATTGGTTGTTCCTAGTTAACGTTATCGAAAAACCCTTTGACTATGGAAACCTGGACTGCTAGTCTCCGCCCCTTTCTATTATTAAAGGATGCAATAACGATAGGTTAGGTTTAAGCTCCGCCTTTTGTGACAATCGAAATTTTTAAAAATAGTATCTAAATTTATGTAAATGGAGAAAAACGCTGACACTCATTTTATCGTGCGCATGTTTTTATTGCAAGTTATTTTTTATTCTATTTAAATTTAACACTTTCTCTACGACTGTAGCGACTGCAAATGTATCTGTTCTGGGAAAACGCAGAGAACCACAAGACTTCCTAGCAATAAAATCTGAATGTACTTTATCGCGCTCGTTTAGCAACGTGAAGCAGGTTTCACAAGTTAATTTTCGTAAAACTTGCATTTCTACAAAATCGGCAATGTAGGCAAAACGCGGCATGATTTGCATTTGAATCTAGCAATATAGATAAATAATCATCTACATTTTCGAAATCAATTGGCTGGTTTGCTTCGATCCATTCCATCATCGCATGTCGAAATTTTGTTAGCCAATGAGACAGTTAAGATGCTAGTAGTATCGATCGGCACGCAATTTGCCTGCGCTGAGGATTTAATCTCGTTTTAATATAATAATCGCTTATACGACGACGTGAATTGTTTGCAATTAGGGTTATTGTTATAACCGCCCATAGCACGGAAACAAGAAAACAAGATTTCCAAATGATCTTGTGACATTTTGTATGATAAAATGTATTCCAAATATCCTGTTTCCACGTATTGCATGTACAATCTCCTCAAGATTTGCATGTTTATTGTAAAACCTAAATATCCCGTTTTAACTTTACTTTTGATTATGAGCTATTCGGTAGGCTCCAATTTTAGCGAAGATAAGTAGTCGACTGCCTCATCAAAGAATTTAAATATTTTTGCCGCTGTATCGCGTTTTAATGGCCTTTTAAAACCGTACGAATACAAACTTCTTGAATTTAGACAGTCGAATTAAGCGACATTCACTATTCGACAGAACTTTACTGTAGCAGTACATCCAACGAAATTTTTATTGCCATCTTCTGATAGCTGTTCTAAGGCAGTAGCACAACTTTCGCTCAAAGGTTGAGCGGCTAATTTCACATTCATCTTGTTTTTGAACCAAATTATGTGTTTTTTAGTTAGTTTATTAGCCAAATGGAAATTCCCATTTTCTTGCAGTTCAACTAGCTTCTCCAAATATTCAAATTTTATGGAATTGCCGTCACTATCGTACAAAACACGTTTTGAAGCTAACATATTCCTTAATAATTTTAGCATATGAGCAGCATCCAATATTATGTGAACATTGTTGATGATTGTCTGTTGGATGACAGAAAAAAGGCTTTCCATCATAAACATCCGCTTCAAGGGTGTTGCACATTGTGATATTTCGAATGTCATGGCAATAACTTTTACTCCAGATGTTGCAACAAATTCCAAGACTTTTCTCGTAATTTCCGCTCTTTCTTGAGAATTCAGCGAATTTACAAAAAAGTATGCCACCGGAATTTTCCATCTTTAGTTAATGCCTGTTAGCATATATCCCAGATAGCACATGGACGTCCATAGGATGTCCGATGGACGGGCGCAACTGGACATTCGGACAACAGAAAATGACAATTTAATTTGTTAAATTGATCTAAAAAAAGTAAATTGTTACTTATTGTTAATCTATGTAATTGTTAAAGCATATACTCCCCGTTAAAAATCGCCAGAAGTAATTAACAACATCAGTGAATTTTTATCGACCATATCCCATAACCTAAAATTCTTATTGCGAAAAATATTACCCCAGGGGTAATATTTTTCGCAATAAGAATTTTAATTGCCAGATATGGTCGATAAAAATTCACTGATATTTAGTTTTTTATTTAAAAAAATTTTATAGCCGAGTACAATTTATATGCCAATATACAATTTTTTATTCACAATCAAAGAAAGGGGAAAGGAAAAAGAGCAAGAAAACAACGATATTTAGAGAGAGAGAGAGAGAGAGAGAGCACATAACTTTTTAAAATTATATTTTACATTTCATTCATATTATTTAATATTTATTTTACATTGTCGATGTTTATTGTTTCCTATGGTTTTATTGTACAACAAATATTTAACTATTAA